CAAAAGTGGGAAAACCCACACACATGGGACAGTATCTGAACCACGAATCCATACACCATCAATCTACCAAAAGTGGAATCATCAGGACTCTAGTAGACTGTGCTTTCAGGCTCCGTAATACGAAGAAAGGTCTCGAGAAGGAACTAGGCATCATCAAAAAAATCTTCAATGAAATGGTTAGTCCATCAAAGCAATGGTGGAACAGACTATGGCAAGAGCATCGCAAGGAAGAGAGGACATCTCAACCAGTGCTTGCACTTCCCTACATCATAAGATTGTCGGAAAGGATGAGAATTGGGTCCAAGTACAACATCAGTGATCGGTAAAACTAAGAGGCCATTGAAAGTCCTTATTGCCAAGCACAGGAAATGCACACAGCTAGGAGAAACCAGCAAATCGGCAATAGCAGAGCGTGTTTGGACTCACCAACATAAATCAAGTGGTCCCAAGCTGACTACCTCATTGTGTTAAATAAATCTACGGGATGCTGATGGTATTTGTGAATTTTTATTTTAATTATCCAGATAGAGGGCATTAAACACTAGGCTATAGACAAAGCCATTCTTTCACAAATAAACACTATACTTAAAATGAAGCACCAGACAACTATTTTTATGGATGCTTTCAAATCACGAGCGCTTACGATAAATTTAAGTAACGTACTAATCACGTTATCTATGGACGGAATAAATAATGGCTCACAGTTGTAGTTCTTATGAACATAAGAATAATGACTGATTATATTAGTAATAGGTTGTACCATACATTTTCGTTGATTCCGAAATCACTCAAGGTGTTGTTGAAGTTGAAGATATTCATATGAGGAGGATAATTTATCATGCCTAAAACAGTTCTTTATTGGAGTCCTCAGGAATTTCGAAAGTAGAATCGATGATGAAGTTGTCTAAATTATGTACGTCAGACTGTACAGTGATACTATTGAAACAAACATTGACGCCTGTGTAAATCAATCCGGTTTATTAACGCTAAACCTATTAGAAAGATGATTGATGGGTATATTAAAATGCAATTTGTTGAGCCCTGTAAACAACTTCTGTAACAGTTCTAACAGTTTGGTGACATTTACACGGCATCTTGAAAGAGGATTTGCAAAGAATGATACTATTGACACAAACATTGACGCCTTTGTGAAAATCAAACCAGTTTATTAACGCTAAACGTATTAGAAATAGGATTGATGGTATATTAAAATTCAATTCGTTGAGCCCTGTAAACAACTTCTGTAAGAGTTCTAACAATTTGGTGACATTTACACGGCATCTTGAAAGATGATTTTCAAACACTGATACTGTTAAAACGAACATTGACGCCTGTGTAAAAATCAAACCGGTTTATTAACGCTAAAACTATTAGAAATATAATTGATGAGTATATTAAAATTCATTTTTTTAGCCCTGTAAACAACTTCTGTAAGAGTTCTAACAGTTTTGTGACATTTACACGGCATCTTGAAAGAGGATTTCCAAACAGTGATACTATTGAAACAAACATTGACGCCTGTGTGAAAATCAAACCGGTTTATTAACGCTAAACGTATTAGAAATAGGATTGATGGTATATTAAAATTCAATTTGTTGAACCCTGTAAACAACTTCTGAAAGAGTTCTAACAATTTGGTGATCTTGAAAGAGGATTTCTCAACAGTGATACTTTGAAACGAACATTGACGCCTGTGTAAAAATCAAACCGGTTTGATAACGCTAAACATTTTAGAAATATGTTTTATGAATATTTTAAAATTCAATTGGTTTTTCGTGTAAACGTGGTTTCTGTCATCTCTTCTTCACTTACCACTATAGAAGTCATAAAAATTAAAATAGAAGTCATAAAAATGTCATATCGATTCGTTATTCGTACGTCGACATCGCAGGTATAATTTTGGGTCCATTTGAAACGATATACATATATATCTCTCACCAGAGATGCTAAGAAATATCTTCATTTATCATACGCCATCAACAATTTGAAGAGCGATCATATAATATACACGTAGGTCAAGTACCTACTTGACAGAAATGTCATTTCTGAACAGTTTCGTTACTCTTTCTATCGTCGCTTTGATAACTTTGATATTTCAATATATGTATAACATATGGGTAATATAATTTTAAAGCCAAACTTTCCAGAAAGAGGTGAGTATATAATGAACAAAACAGTTCATAACTCATTTTGTTGAAGTATATATTGACAGAAATGTTTCTTTAGAGGTTGAAAGAATAAGATGTAGATCGAAATAGATTATTATCATGATTTTCATTTAATTTACGGAATTATCAGATGAGTTATGTAATAGATTTGTTGATAAGAATGAAAACTAAAAGTCAATGAGGAGAAAATCAGAGTTAGGTTAGGAAAAAAACAACAAGACAGTGTGAAAAACGAATGTAATACAAAGAGGGGAATAACTAGAATAAGTGAAAAAGTATGAGTTAATATGAACCATGATAATAAACGATGCGACGAATATTATGGTAAGTACAAATCAACCAAAAAATCCAATTCAATGCAAATTATGAAAATGACGAAGTTAGAGAGGAAAAATTAAGTGAAACAGAATAAAAAGGAAGAAATCAAGAAAATGAAAAATGGACAATCGAACGTAATAGTACAGACCCCTACCAAGATGCATGAATAGAACGAAGAACTACAAAAGTGATGAAATACACTGAAAACTGTAACTTTGATGATAAAAATTAAGGAAGAACATGATTAATGAAACATACATGTTGTGAATGAAATATGATGTATTCATTAGAAAATATGAAAGAAAAAGGTGAAAAAAACGTAAGAAATAATTTCCATCAATTAAACAACAATTTTTTTCATCTGTACCGATTTCTGATAACGTTAATATATACCGTCTCAGTCTTCTAATAATTCATAGTAACTGATCTACCAAAACGTATCGATTTATAAGCTGGCACATTTGGCTCGAGTTCGCAAAGCTTTAATAAATTCCGACAGTATCCGTAAAATTTTACGAGAGGGATTACTCCCCAGTTAGTTCCATTCATTTTCGACGATACAGACACTGGTTGCACAGATGCTCGAATGGAAAACATATCTATTTACTTTTTATCAGCTCTTTTTAAGATGTTTCACTCTCCCCAATCTGAAGAAACACATTTCTAACGGGAAATGTGAACACAGTGAACACAGTAAAAGTATTTCTTTCAAAGAAGATCATAGATTGCTTTGAAATTTTTATCTCTATCGGAGAAACTATTACTTCATGCCAACAGCGCCACGTTCCACAAGCGAATCACAATTTTTTAATGAATAAATTTAATTTCTTGGCCTTTCAACGACATCATTAGTGTGATTATCGCGAAGATGAACTATCTAGGAAATATATCATCTAGGAATCACACGTTAAAAAGGTAAGACCTCGTTAATCCTTAATTTGTTTGAAGGTGGTTGACAATATTTCGTGGTGTATTTCATCAGTTCGGACTTCCATTGTCTAATATAATATAATATATATATATAGTTCCCGCCCGCTCAAGGACATAGAGAAATCCTTGTTGAGGAAAGGTCTGAACTTCGCCATTGCACCAACATCTGTGGCCACTTTGGAAATAATAACTGCAGTAGAATCCAATAGTTCCCTTATTGATCAGATCGAGGCAGAAGAATTCAGATGGAAAATCAGAGAACAGCTAGATCGAAAACCAGTGTCAACTTCTAACATCAACAATGAAGAACGAAGACCTCTGAACGAGCTAGGGAGAGACAACACCATCAAGATCTTACCTTCAGATAAGGAAAACGCCACTGTTGTGATGGATACTGGATCTCTACGAACAGAAGATGTTATAGCCAATATATATATGGAGTGGTTTGAAACTCTGGCCATTGAAGAAGCCCAGAAGAAGCCTTGAGTCTGGTTGAGATACGTAGACGACACCTTCACAATATAGAACCATGGGATTGCAGAACTAGACACTTTTCTGGAGCACATCAACAACGTAAGTCCTTCCATCACTTTCACAATGATAAAGGAAGTCCACAACGAATTGCCTTTCTTAGACGTATTGGTAAAGACAACCGACACTAAATGGAAAATATCTGTATATCGAAAACCCACTCACACGGGACAGTATCTGAACCAGAAATCCAACCACCATCAAACGACAAGAGAGGAATTATCAAAACTCTACTAGACCGTGCTTTTGGGCTCTGTAATACAAAGGAAGGTCTCGAAAAGGAACTACGCATCATCAAAAATGACCTACAATGGAATGGTTACTCCAGAGTGATGGTAGAACAGGCCTCAGCTAGAAGACAGCAAGAACGTCACAAGGAAGAGAAGCCGCCACAACCAGTACTTGTACTTCCCTACATTAGAGGATTATCGGAAAGGATAAGAAGGATTGGGTCCAAGTATATCAGGACCTGCTTCATCTCGGAACACTATCCGTAGGAGCCTCACAAAAACCAGGCCACCAAATGCGGACTGCGATTCCAAGAATTGCACAGCGAGGTGAAACCAGCAAATCCGGAATAGCAGAGCATGTTTGGACTCATTAACATAACATCAAGCGGGCTCAAGCTGAAATCCTCCACAAAGAGGAACACTGGTTTAGGAAAAAATTCAAAGAAGCCGCGTATATGTTGTCCAACAACGCATTTAGTCAAGCTAGCGTAGAGATACGTAACATATGGAAACCTCTAATCAAGGGAAAAACGACCAATTCCCGCCAAACGGTCATCTCCCGCCAAAAACCAATGAAGAGGGGATAGGTGAAAGCACTCGAATGACNTTCATTCACCTATTTGATTTAATCCCAGCTAAGAGAAACTACATTTCTCCATTGCGCTTCGAATTGCTCCGATATCCACCGTATTCGCCAGATTTGGCTCCCAGTGACTACTGGCTATTCGCAGACCTCAAAACCCGGGACTTTTCAGCCAACGTATTACTAACGTTTCTTTTTTTCGTATATTTTGCCTTCGGCGAATAAATAACTATCACTTACCTTATATACTCCATTGATAAACTGATGAAGTCTTGCGGATTGAAGATCGTTCTTTCGATATCTTCACCTCTCTCTTCCGGTGACACTCTCGCCGCAATCTGTGGGTACTGCCGATAGTACTGCTTTCGTCTTGTCATTTCACGTAGAAACAACTCCGGTACCAACTTGTAAACGATGTCTTGCAAAGTTTTGTCCAATCTGAAAAATACAGACAGCCAGCTTCTCTTCCAATTTCAACCTAACGTAATCAAACAATACAACGAAATTTATCTTCAAAATATCAATTGGGAATATCCTATTTGATGATTTGAGGTTTTCAAGAACAAGTAAGTAGATCCCACTATAGCAATTCAAATGACAAATTTGTTACTTCTCAAACATCTAGTATGTTTAAATCAATATAATATGTGCTCATTTCTCGATACTCAAGGTCGAGTCAAAGTTATTTACGATTCAAAGAAAACCTTTGTTTAGTTTTTAGACAGATCATTACATTCTTCTGGCTAAATTAATAGACATGGGTTTCACGGATTCCCTAACTCCACTTTTCTAGTCATATCTCTACAACAGAATGCACTTTATTGAATAAAAGTCATTCAAATCACCCAGTTTTTTTGTTACCTCAGATGTGCCACAGCAGTCATTCAAATCTCCTAGGATTTTTGCTAGTTCAGCTGTGCCACAGGGTTCTAACTTAGGCCCCTTGTAATTCATTACGTTCATGAACAATCCATGTCAAACCATAAATATTTCAAATTGCTGTTTGCTGACGATTTACAGCCAAATTTCAGACTGTCTACATTTGCAAACTGGTATTGAGTTGAGTTGAGTTGCATGGGTCGAAATTTCATTATTCGTTTTGAAATTATGAGGCAGCTTGGTCAAGAACCTTTGGGTCAAAACCATACTTGTGTAGTCTGTGAAATGCCGAGTTTTTGTGTGTGACGCGAAATCGACTGCCTCGTATTCTCCTGCACAGTCTCACAGACAGAGGCGATGTTTTCGGCAGATCTTGCGTTTCGTCTTCGTACGGGTGTTGTCCAAAATAAGGAATGCTTTGGTGAATGACAGTCACTTAAGTATAATTCCCTATGATGTGATGCTGTGACTTTTCTTGGAGTTTTTGGTGCAGACGAACTGAAGAGAAATTGAAGATCTTCTAGGTTATGCCGCTCAGCTTTATTGAACGATATTTAGGATCACCAGTAATGAATATGAACCAAATTATTTCTGATACACATAAACAGCCTTCTTAAGATGTTGTCCTCCCTAAACCCACACCTGATATTACGAGAGAATAAACAGAGCAACCAAGATGACATTATCAAATAGAAACCTGATGTACCTATATTTTAGAAGTAATAATAATGAAGCTTTCCTAATTATATGTTGAGGTTATGGTGAACATCAAGGGATGAGTGGTCTGAAAAACTATTCAATAGCATATGGTTCATACATTTTGAAGCTAATCAATGTTTATAGACTAGATAAATTATTCTCGTTGATGATCTCTTGTTAACAGAAACTGCAACATCGCAACAGAGCTTGTTTATTAAACCTTTGAGAAGAACATGTACCCCTGCTTCTTACCTCACCAACATCAATTAAATTGAAACATCAGGGTTTCTCATTTTGCGATAGTTAAGCCATAAAATGTATCTATGTATATGATAGTATCAATTATGCAGGTAGAATCTTCGAGAGTATTGAAAATAATCTTTCAAAATTCAATCTACAAACATCCTACACATCAAACGGAAATTTAGGAAACAGATTATTCAATGCCAAACCTAAATTAGACAAAAGGAAGAGATCTGGTGCATTTCGACTAGAATATGGTGAATGCCCCGCCATATATAAGCCAAACTGGTAGAAATTTTGATATAAGGTACAATGAACATGTCATGTAATGTAATACTGTAATAATGTAATACTCATTTGATTTGAAAGGGTTATATTTTTAGGAGTGAATGTTTATTAAACCTTTAAGAAGAACATGTACCACTGCCTCTCATCTCACCAACATCAATTGAATTAACACATCAGGGTTTGTCATTTTGCAATAGTTAAGCAATAAAATGTATCTATGTATAAGATAGTATCTATCAATTATGCAGGTAGAATCTCCGAGAGTATTAAAAATAATCTTTCAAAATTCAATTTACAAACATCCTACACATCCTACGGAAATTTAGGAAACAGATTATTCAATGCCAAACCTAAATTAGACAAAAGGAAGAGATCTGGTATATATCGACTAGAATATGGTGAATGGCCCGCCATATATAGGCCAAACTGGTAGAAATTTTGATATAAGGTACAATGAACATGTCATGTAATGTAATAATGTAATACTGTAATAATGTAATACTGTAATAATGTAATAATCATGTAATGTAATCTAGTTAGTTTAGAAAAGGGTTCAATGACCGAAACTAGTCAACAAATATACCTAAAACTATCGTGAAAAATAGACAAAAGTGTGTTTTCCTAGTATATCCTCGGTATAGATAATGTAGATATCAAATTATTTATGATAGGTATACGCAATATAGGTATAGGTATAAATTACTTAGATTTGAATGTGAACTAGTTAGTTTAGAAAAGTGTGTTATGACCGAAACTAGTCAACAAATATACCTAAAACAATCATGGAAAATAGACAAAAGTGTGTTTTTATAGTGTATCCTCAGTAAACAATAGAAAAATGATAGAAAAATGAGAAATAAGATGGTATTTGATTCTGATCTAAAATTCTATGAAGCGCCTCCCCCCTGATGTTGTTTTTTGGTAAAGCCACTGAAAATTTCGAAACACATTCTCTCTCTTTTATCCTCGTTCGAATATTTGTGTCATAGAAATCCTATTCTCATGTTTTTCTTTCCGGTTATCTCATTTACCCGCCTCATACAATATAGATGAGTCTCTGCTCCCCGATAAACATCGTCGAATCGACCGGATTGACATCCCCCGTCTTCGGAAAGAACAATCCCTCTGGCTGTCTGTCGGCCATCCAACGTCAAAAGAGAGGAAAAAAAAAGAAATGTTTTGTCTCTCGTAATCCGAAACGAGAAAAATAAAGAAACAACGTCGACTTCCTATTTCGAAAACAAAATATAGCATCGTGTCGGTTCGGGGCACGTTATTGATGAGTTTCCAACGCGCAAGATCGTTTCCAACGTGGACGCATTCGGATGCAGCGTTGCCAACCCAATAAAGTTGATTTTGGCGAGATTGATGGCAGAAATGTCTTTTTTTTTAAGGAAAAAAAGCACAAGCGTTGCCGGAAAATCCTCAAGGCGTTCTTGACAAATATCCAACCTTTCTTCGATATTCCAGACCATCAAAGTTACAAGTTCGTGTCTCCAATCAGGTAAAGAATTCGTCCTTACGCAAGATGAGGGACTGCCAATAAGATCGCCACTTTCACCGGTTATTGCCAATATTTATGGAGTAGTTTGAAACACTGGAATATGGAACATGGGAATGCAGAACTAGATATTTTCCTGAAGCACATCAACAACGTAAGTCCTTCGATCACGTTCACAATGGAGACGGTAGTCCACAACGAATTGCCTTTCTTAGACGTATTGGTGAAGAGAACCGACAGTAAATGGAAAACATCTGTATATCGAAAACCCACTCACACAGGACAGTATCTGAACCAGAAATCCAACCACCATCAGTCGACTAGAGGAATCATCAAGACTCTACTAGACCGTGTTTTCGAGCTCTGTAATACAAAGGAAGGTCTTGAAAAAGAACTAGGCCTCATCAAAAATGACCTTCAACGGAATGGTTACTCCAAAGTGATGGTAGAACAGGCCTTAGCTAGAAGACAGCAAGAACTCCAAAAGGAAGAGAAGCCACCACAACCAGTACTTGTACTTCCCTACATCAGAGGATTGTCGTAAAGGATGAGAAGAATTGGGTCCAAGTACAACATCAGAACCTGCTTCACATCTGGGAACACTATCCGTAGCAGTCTCACGAAAACCAGGCCACCAAAGGCGGACTGCGATTCCAAGAATTGCATTTCCGGATACCCTGCGAATGCGGAGAATCATACATCGATGAAACTAAGAGGCCATTGAAAGTTCGCATTGCTGAGCACAAGAAACACATATCGCGAGGAGAAACCAGCAAATCCGGAATAGCAGAGCATGTTTGGACATAACATCAAGTGCGGGCTCAAGCAGAAATCATCCACAAAGAGGAACACTGGTTTAGGAAAAAATTCAAAGGAGCCGCATATATGTTGTCCAACAACGCATTTAGTCAAGCTAGCGTAGAGATACGTAACATATGGAAACCTCTAATGAAGCGGAACACGACCAACTCCCCTCAAACAGTCAGCTCCCGCTAAAAATCAATGAAGCGGAGAGAGGAAAGAGGGGTGAACGCAGTAGAATGACCTATAAATATTCAGATCTCGAAAGAATAAGTCCTGCGACCTGTCTAGGTCCGAGCGAGTGAAGATATCCCTGTACGCCGATGACACGGCTCTTCTCTCATCTTCCATGGGTCGAGAGCTCGGCGTCGTCTACATGCAACGTGCATTGGACGACCTCGAGCGCTGGTACCTCGATTGGAAGATCCGAGTAAACCCGTAAAAGACTCAGGCGATAACCATGGGAAAACTACTATCTTCTCCGGCCAGAAAAGTGAGAATATCTGGAAGGAAGATTGACTGGCAAGCGCGGGTAAAGTACCTCGGCCTTCTGATAGACCGTAGGCTCACTTCCAAGTGTACGTTAAGTCTAAGATCGAGGGTCGGATGGCCAATCTGTACCCTCTGATCAACAGAAAATCAAAAATGAGCACGAACAACAAAATCATGATCTACAACACGATATTCAAGCCTGTCATCATGTATGCTTCAGGCGTCTGGGGACAAGCGGCTCCGTCCAACATTCCCATTTTGGAAAGGTTGCAAAATAAGCTAATTAGGATGATTGTGAATGCTCCTTGGTTCGTGCGGAATGAAGCCATCCGCAGAGATTTGCAGCTGCCTTCCATTCGGCAGTCCATCCAGTCGAGGAATGAGAGAGTTTTTGAAAGAACGGAAACCCATGAAAACCCGTTAGTTAGGGAAGCCACAGATTATGCTGTAGACGACCCCTACCGATATAGAAGGCCCCGACACTCTGTCGAATGAGGCCCTCATGTCCCCCTTTAAAGGATGAATAACTTCTTCA